CTTGGAAGGCTGAGGCGGAAGGATCGCCGGAGCCCAGCAGGTCGAGGCTGCGGTGGCCGGGAACGTGCCACTGCCCTCCAGCCTGGGTGACAGAGTGAGACTCCAACTCAAAAAAAAAAAAAGAGTCTATGTGGAAAGCAGGAGGGACCTCTGAGTTCACACATCACAGAAGTTCCTGGGATCTGACAACACTGGCTACGATAATATAATAGCAGTTGTGGCGACATTCACCATGAACTAGTAACGATGCTCAAGGTTTAGTTTCTACTCATGGGAATGAGACTCCAGAGCAAGTCTGGCAGCAGATGCTGGAGGGAGGCAGCCTGGACAACACCCCAAGCCTCCTCCCCTACCCCTGCCCAAGGGGCGGAAACCTGTTCTTCCAGCCTGCCTCTCGGATCTCTCTCCCACCTGGAGCTCTGACAGATCTCAGCGAGAATGTGAACCAGATACAGAGGCAGGCTGCTGGCCAGGCAAAGAAATGGGACACACTGGCACCCCAGGAAGCACACCTTCCACATAGGGGGCCTTAGTGTAGAAAACAGGTATCTAGATGCCCCGAGTTTGGGCTTAGGGGCTGGCTAGTCTCTTCAAAACTCAGGCCCTGCCTCGGTTTCCTGATTTGGGGGTGGGGGAAGGAGGACACTGCACATAACTGGGGGGAGATCAGAGGAAAAAAGTCAACACCACTTAAGTACCCTACATCCTCTCTGCCCACGTTCCCTGAAAAAGATCAATTTTTGGAGAGTTTTTTTTCCCTTTGTCAGGCCTTGAGCGGCGAGATGCTATCCCCAGATCATGAAAAAAGATTCTTCTCCCTGATGAGAGGTGAGGAAAGTGTGGAGGAAATCCATCCCGAGCTATAAACTGTGTTAGGGAGACAGGGGAAGAAGCGATTAGTTTCAGCGACTTACTTAATTCCCAGTCCATCCTTTTCTCGAAAGACCAGGGGAACCCTGAGAGCTTCTCTCTGTACGTACTCATAGTTGAAATCTGTTTGGATATTTGAATTAAAACAAGTTGGTTAAGTCATGAAGGAAGAAATGAACCATGATCTGTCGGTCAGGGGATGAGACAGGATAGAGGAAGGAGCAGGGGGCACACTCGAGGCAGGTACCAGCTATATGGCAAAAGCTCCCTGGAAAATGATAGGAAACGTACCAGGCAAAGCCCAACGAAGCCATGCCAGTGATCTGCTCCTCTGCCTATTGGGTCATTCTCCGCATGCCCCACCGGTCCAAACTTGTCAATGAACAGCCCCAGGCCAGCCAGGTTGGGAAGGGAGACTCAAAGAGCCCCGCACAAAAAGAGCCCCAGCCATTGCTGAGAAAGCGGGACAGACAGAGAAACGCATGGAGTTCGGAAAGCAAAGGGAACACAACATTGAAGAATGCCACCTGGGAGGATCAGAAGCCCCAGAGAAGAGGCTGGGGAGGAGGGTCTCCTTGTAGCTAAGCATCAGTGAAAATCTTATTGTAATATCCTGCATAGTCAAGGAGAGGGGGGGAAAGCTGGTTTCCCTGGAAACTGTGTATTTGGTGCCAAAATAACTAGGGAACTGGGCACAGCTTTGTTGTCTTAAGAGTGAAATTCGGCTGCAGCCGTCACAATACTTGCTTCGACTGGACCACCGAGAGGGACGCTCCCCAGGTGAAGGCTATGCCAAGAGGGCAGAGGAAGGCCCAAAGAAAATCCACAGGGTGGTTTCCGCCTGGGGCTTGTCTAATATAGATCCCAAAATCCTTATCCAAAGTCCTGGAGAAGGAAGGAGGCCTTCGACTCACTTCTTTCCTTCCCCAATTCCAAAACCAGTGGCTGCGACCCAACCATACCCCTGAATCTGGAGATGGGGGAGGCTGAGATCAACCCTCGTGTCCCCCAAATCCTCAGGTAGCTAAAGCAGCCCACAAGGGCACCAGCCCTCTTTGGCCGGTCAGAAGGGAGATGGAAGAGGCCTCGAGCCACTGAAGCCGCTGGCCCAGGGAAACAGTTCACAGGGCAGCCCTGGGGGAGGAGGAGGCGAATGCAACTCCCCTCCGAAGAGAGCAGGAGAACAAAACCCAGAGCCAAAGCCCTGACCTCAGCAGCTCAGATCCCCAGGGGCTCACAGTGAATGGGGATTCCTAAGGATTTAAACGAAGAGAAGTTTAAGAAGCTTCTATTTTGAATCCAGGCTAAGGGCTCCTTCTGTTTCTCAGCTCCTCCCTCGAGTTCTGGGGCCAGATCTGACTTAACTCGCAAAACCCTGGGCCCTCTCCTTTGAAAGGAGCCAGGACAGCAGATTTAAGGATACACTTTAGCTCTCTCTTGCTGGAATGACCCCCATACTCACATACTCGCTCCCCCCACCACCAGGGTCAGCCTCAACTTCCTCAAACGAGCCTGAGAAAAAGCTCTGAAATCCTGGGCTGAAAATTCCTAGCGGACGGCTAGGAAGAGTTTGCATTGTTTTCTCATAGGATACGCCAAACCACTCCGTAAAATGCAGGAAGAAAGGAGAAGCATTTCTGCTGTGGGAATTCAAATCAGTTGGGGCTAACACCCTCCTCTTGGGCCAGGCAGGCTGGAAGAAATTTCTTTTTCCCTCCCCCCACCATGACCCCCAACAGCAGAGCCCAGAGCCCCAGGAGGCAATGGGCACAAAAGAGAAACTGACAAAACGCAAAGCCGTGACAGTCTTCTTGGGGCTCACCCCATAGCCACAGTCACTGAAGCAGAACCTGGAGGAGGGAAGCACTTCCCCTGTTCCAGCTCACTGAGGGATGGAAGGGTTTTCCCAGAGTGGGAGAAAACAAAATGGAAACCGAGTAACTTAAAGAAAACTCAAATCTCTAAGGGGGCCTGGGTAAGCAAAGCCATCTCCAAAGCCAGCCCCCCAGGCCATGCTGGCTTCCAGAACCAGGAATCACACCAGCGGTAGGCAGGGTGGCCCAGAGCTCTGGAGGCCTCAGATCCAAGCCAGAGCATCATCCCAGTGTCTGGAGGGCACCCCTAACCACCCTCCTCTTAAGAGGGCCAGAAGGAAACCCAGGCCCCGAAGGCCTTCAGCTGGGTGGCACTCCAAAATCCCGGAGGCTTCCCAAATTTGCTCTAAACTGTAGAGGCCCACAGGTGACAGAGTTCTCAAGATCTCAGCCCTGGGAAGAGACCCATTTCCCAGGGAGATGCTGCAAGTCTTCACTTCAAGCTGCCGGGGAACTGAGTTTAAGCCTAAAAGGGAGTCACCCCCTTACCCGGACTCCCATCTGTCAAGGCTGCATTCGCTAGAGCGCTCAGGCCCAAGTGGGGGATGCGGTCAACAACTCAGAGCGCACGGGACCCCTGCCCCAATTGTGGCAGAGCCTACGAAGGGATGTGGCTCTGCAAACCCAGGTCTAAGGGGCCGTCACCCCCAAAACCCGAGGCGCCCCCATCACCAGTTCCCAACTGGCAGGCCCCGAGACGGCACGGGGTTTGGGAGGTTTCAGGCCTGGGGGGCCTCACCCCGATGTCCCAGGGGCTCCCTGAGCCGGCTCCAGCCAGCCGGCGGCACCTCAGACAGCGCAGGGAGCGAGACCGGCTCTGGGAGGGGGAGGACGCCGCGCTCCCGCCCTCCCTCGGTCTGCCAGTCGGTCCCCAGGTCCCC